GGTTTCAAGGGATCATTTGTTTTGGGCTGCTATGTAATTTTATTTCTGTTTATTCTTGTTTTTAATTGATGTAATACTTTGTTAGAAGAGGCAACAGCTCATGCCTCTTTATGGGTTTCCTGTATTGCCTTAATTTCTGGATTAATAAATTATTTTCATTCATAAAAAAGGTTTTCTGTTATCCACTGGAAAAAAAATCTTCTTTAAATCAGGAAAATGTCACTTTCTATCTCTGTCATGGTTTCAATTTTGGGATCTATGTTAATAGGAGATATGTGCAAGGAAAAAAATTGTAAAGGGCAGGGTAAAAGGAAATCATGGGCTTTTTTATTAACAGTCAGTCTTCTTTTTAGAAACAGAAATTCTATTCAGGAAATATCAAAATTTTCAAATAAGTGGGTTGGGGGTTCTGTCCCGAATCAGGACCAAAGTGAGAAATGATCATCCTAAGCTGGAATTTCCGGGGAATTGGGTCTCCCCTGGCAATTCAAGCTTTGAGAGAGACCCAAAAAACAACAAACCCTAAGGAGGGCTGGCTCTATTTTGGAAATTGGAGCAGCTGGGGTTGTGATACTGAGGGCCTCAAAGGAGGGCTGGCTATATTTTGGAAAGAGGGCTTAGATATTAAAGTGCTCTATGCAGACCCAAATCGTCCATGTTACAATAAAGGATTTAGGAGGGAAGAATGGTTGTATTTCTTGTCTATGGGGAACCAAAAGAACAGAAGAGAAATCTGTTCTTCCAAAAATGGCAATCTCTGGCCAGTCTTGTTAGTAGCCCTTGGTTGTGTGTGGGTGACTTCAACATAATCTTGGATCCTCAAGAGAAAGGAGGGAGAAGCTGTAGCCCCTCATATTTGAGGAAAAATAATGAGATCATCAAAAAATGTGGTTTATACGAGCTCCCAATCACAGGTGCAGATTCACTTGGACAAATAAAAGAAGGGGAGAGGATAATATCAGAGCCAGACTTGACAGAGCTTTTTGCAATCAGGAGTGGTTGGACTTGTTTGAAGCCTCCCATACAAAAGTTCTAGTCTCTCTAGGATCCGACCACCTCCCAATCCTCTTTAAGATGGAAGAAAATACCTTTTAGAATGGAAGAAATGTGGTTCTCCCATGAAAATTTTGAGGAAACTAAGAAAAATTGCTGGGTAAAGAACCAAAACGGAGGTCCTCAAACTCAATTGTGTAGCAAATTAAATAACCTTCAAACTACTTTGACGAAATGGAATAAAGAGGTTTTTGGGAATGTTTAGAGGAAAATAGCTTTCATTAAAAAGAAAAGAGAAGGAGAGTTGGAGAAAGGAGAGGAACAGCCAAACCCAAGTTTAAAAACACTAGAGGCAGAGCTGGAAGTGTGGTTAAAAAGGGAGGAACAGATGTGGGCTCAAAAATCAAGAGTCAACTGGCTTTAACATGGAGACAAGAATACAAATTTTTTTTCATGTAACGACTTAGAGGAGAAGATGCAGAAATAGAACTCTAAAATTGGAAAAGGAACCAGGAATTTGGGTAGATACTGAAGAACAAATTGAAGAAATCCTGTTTCTACACTTTGATGGCCTGTTCAAGACCTCAAACCCGAGAGTTTCTGAAGTTCTGTTAAGTTGTATTGGGAAAAAAATATCAGAAAAAAATCTGAGAGAATCTGAAATTTCCAATGTCTCAGCTTTGCTTCTTCTGTTGAGTTCAATATGTTTGGGTGAGGGTGGTTCAGATTCTAGAGTGTGGACCCTTAGGCAGTTGGGCTCTTTTTCCTGTAAGTCCTTTTGAATTCTCTTATCTCCACCACCTCCTCTCCTTATTTCCCTGTTAAGGAGATATGCTCTCGGCCCATCCCTCCGAAAGTCAATGCTTTTTGTTGGGAAGTCTGGAAGTGTTTCATGGCTCCATTAACACCTGCGATTTGCTTCGGAGGAAAAGACCAAATTGGTGTCTGTCCCCCAGTTGGTTCTCTTTATGTAAGTTGAGGAGAGAAGTAAAGAAGCTGTTATTGAGGTGATTACTCTCAGAGTAGCGCATTGGGTGAGCACCTTAAAGCTCTTTGCTGACTTTAAGGTTGAAGATTTCTGCAGATCGTGGGGAATAATTGCAGGATCTTCATCTAGAAGACAGATTGTTCATGAGGCCTGGTCTCCTCCATGTGTTGGGTGGAAGAAATTAAACTTTGGTTGTAGTTGTATGGGAAATCCTGGACCATCGGGTATTGGTGGGGTAATTAGGGAAGAAAATAGAAACATTCTAGCTTTGTACTGAGGTCCTATTCAGCATGGAGATGTGATGAGGTCAGAATTATTGGCAGCAGTCTATGGAGTAGAGGCTAAAGAGGTGGAGTGTTTCGGGATGAAGAAGGTTGAATCATTGCCATGTTCTCAGCACCTATAGGCTGGGGGGATTCATTGAGAGCTGAAATTTTGGCAGCATTGCAAGGGATCAAAAGAGCCAAGCAGTTGAACATCAGAAATTTGTTGGTGGAAGGAGATTCAAGGCTGACAGTTAACTGGTTGCAGGAGAAAGATTCCAGCTTGTGGAAGTTCTCAAATGAAAAAAAGAAAATTAACCAGATTACCCGAAACCTGCAAATTCAGGTTCAGTGGGCCAAGAGGTGTGCCAATTCTTTGGCAGATTTTTTGAACAAACAAAGGGTGGGAAGAGCAAATCTTTTTTTGGGCTGTGTTGTAATATGATCCTTATTGTTAGGGAGGGTTAAGTGTTTTTACCCCTCCCTTTATACTGTATCTCTCTTTAATATATTTTTTTAATAAAAGTTACTGTTATTGATCAACAAAAAAAGTAGAGAAAGCTAAAGAAATGGGGATTACTAAGCTGATTAAAGAAGGTGATTCAAAACTAGTTGTGCGCTGGTTACAAAAAGGGGAAGGAATCATATGGAAGTTAAGGAATGAATTCAGGAGATTCAAGCAGATTTCTAAAGATATGATGATCCAAATAAGATGGATAAGGAGGTCTGCGAACAGTTTGGCTGATGGTCTTGCAAAGCAAGGAACTCAAAGACAATCCTTGTTCTGGGCAATTCTGTAAATAGTGAATAGTTTCTGGGTGGGCTTTGTTTTTGTGCCCATTGTATCTCTATTTTTTTATATAATGAATCAATTTTGTGTTGCTAATCAAAAAAAAAAAAAAAAAAGAAAAGATATCAGAAGAAGAAAGTCAATGGTTGGAGAGAGAAGTGGAAGAAGAGGAAATTAAGTCTGCTTTGTTCCAGATGGCTCCCCTGAAAGCTCCGGGGCCAGATGGCTTCCAAAATAGCTTCTTCCAAAGGTACTGAAATATAGTGGGTCAGGATCTATCAAAAGCTGTTTTAGATTTCTTCAACCAAAATTTGATTGCCAAGGATTTCAACCAAACATACATTGCACTAATTCCAAAAGTCAAAAGCCCTTCTAATGCTTCCCAATTCCGTCCTATCAGCCTTTGCAACACTGTCTACAAGGTTATAGCATAAGTGTTGGTGAATAGGATCAGGCCTTTACTCCGTAAAGTTGTGAGTGAAAATCAGAGTGCTTTCACTCCAGGAAGATTAATCCAAGACTAATTTCCTAAATGGAATTGATTATATGGTATATAGGATATTGAATTTATGATTAACAGTGATATTGTCTTGTGAAATCAATGATGTAATGTGTATTTATATCGAAAATTAACTATTTGATTTCTTTTTGTATTTTCAGTACAAAATAATAAGAAACTGAAATTATGGTGCATTTCAACATGGATCATACCTAATAAGTTATATACCTTATTTGTCAAAAACCTTTCACCTAGCAAGTGCCTAGGTGATGCCTAGATGCCTGCCTAAGTGCTTAGGCAGCAAAGTAGTGCTCTTTTGCCTAATCTCACCTTGCTAACTATGCATAGGATTTAAAATGGTTAACCACTAACATGACTGCAAGGGTGCTTTGGCAAAGGAGACTGAGCAATGAGATAGCTAATTACTTAATTAAGCAAGGGGTGTATAGGGAGAAACTGTTTTGGGCTCAATTGTAATCTGAAATGTAATTTAGGCTGCATCTCATGTCTCTCTATGGGAAGACTCATTGTATAAGTTTCTCATATGTTTTCTTTTTTTCTAATAAAACTTTACTTATCAAAGAAACTTGTTCATCCAAAAAAACTTGAGAAGCTGTTAGATCTTATTTTGGAGAAGTTGGGTGTTTTAGATGAAGCAAATGTTTTGTAGCTGGAAAAATGAAGCAAACACTATTAAAACATATTCTCCCTCCCCCCCACAAATACATACAACTCCAAAACCTTTTTATAGCAAATATTATCTAAAAATAATATGTTTACAGTCACATATAAAACCTAATTTCGTTTTTGAAAAAGAAAAAGGGAAAGAAGAATTGTAGATTATCAATGACTAACAGCATATGGAGATAATTAAAATTGGGGGCATGGGGGCAGTATATGAAACTATATACAGGAGAAAAATGTAGTTTTTCTTGGGTTTAGATAATAAAAATTGAAGTAGGTGCTCAGTCTTCATATGGACCTTGGCATTCATGACCCTTCATTGGGAGGATAGATCTTTGGCTAGTGACTGCTAATTTGAACAGTATGTTCAAGTTAATGCTGAGGTCAGAGAAGAGAAATATCATCTATTTGGGGCTATCAGGCTATAATCCTGGCTTGGTTTGAATAGCATTGATGTTCCTATTTGTAAATCATCCGTCTTTTGAGCTGTTTTCCTTTCCCTGATCCCCATATCATGAATGAGTGGGTGTACTTCATATCTTCTTGTTTTTAATAATAAATCTATTTGTTTTTTTGATAAGTATCTATTTGTTTTTTTTTTCTTGAAAGGTAAATCCCTTTGTTCATGTTGATTAAGAAACTGTTATAGTCATGATGCTAGTGTGCTCATGCCTCATGATAGAATGTAGAAGTATTCTCTCTTGTCACCCCTGGTGCCTATGTTGTTGTAACATTCTGTACAGCTTTTTAAATGTTAAACCTTATATTTTCTGTCTGTTTTAGAGCTGTGGTTCGTGGGAGGAACATCAAACTCACTGTGGTGGTTGTTCAGTCATTTGATAAGGGTAAGTAACTATAATTTCAAAAGTTCCTCTTAATTATAAATCAGTCCTATTAGCATCACAAAACAACTCTGGGAGCATGCTCCACAAGTCATTTTGTGCTCTACTTGTATAGAGGCTCATTTGTTGGAGTCTCAGCTAACATTATATCATGTTTTCTCAAGTTATTAGGTGATACTTCTTCATGTTTTCTGATGGTATATTTTGTAGAATCATTATAGTTGGCACAGAAACATAGAATTGGGCAGAAGCTAACTTCTAATATAAAATCTCATTCTCAGGAACTTTTTATGTGAAAAAAAACCATCAACAGAGTTTAAACTTTTCCCCCAGTAAATCTAAGAAGTCCTTAAAAAGGAATACTAGAAGAATCTATGCAAAAACAATTGTAGAACTTTAAGTATTATGTTCATGAACTAGTTAACTTTTTTCAAAAAAAAGTATTATGTTCATGAACAATGTTTTAAAATGTGGAGGCGTGACATGAGGCGTTCCACTACCTAGAGGCATGAGGCGTAGTTCAGAACGTAAGAGGTGTAAGCCTCCCGAACACAAGGAGCGTAAACCTCCTTAAGAGGAGGGGGGATGAGGAGGAAGAAAAATCTCATTTTTCTTTATTTTTAATAAAAATCTTTTATATTAAGAAAAAGGAAGATGCATGGCACTAGTTGAAAGCGGAGGCGAGCGAGCCGGAGCGGAGCAAGACCCCCCTAACACACACACACAGAAAAAGGGGGGCTGGGGGGTCTGGGGAGTGAAGCCCTCCAACCAAGGGGTCTGGGGGCTTTCCCCTTATCTTCCCTTTCCTTATCTTTTCTTTCTTTTTCTCTTTCTTTCTTTTTCTTCCCCTTCCCTTTCTTTTCCTTTCCCTTCCTTTCTTTTTTGTCTTTTTACATGAGGTGCATGAGGTGTACACCTCTAGCATGCCTCATGAAAAAAACGTATGAGGCGTATGCCTCAGAGGTGTTAGCACCTCTGGCATATGCCTCAGGGTGTTTTGGGGGTGCCTCGCCTAGGCGTACGCCTCCCACGCCTTTTAAAACACTGTACATGAATTTGAGGGTGCAAATTTCATTTTGTCAGAAAATGGAAGGAAAAAAGGAACTAGAAAAATAAATGTAACAGAACTACATATTGACTGCCAGATGAAGTCAGTGAAGACCGTATGATTGCTCTGCGGAAGCGTGCTGAAATTGATTCCAAGTATCTTCTGACCTTTGTACAGAAGAGTTCATCGGACCTAAAGCATTCCCTTAACAGGCAGGCAATTTTTTTGATGTGTCAACATTTGGATTCTATGCTTGACTTTTGTCTTTGGGTGGTCTTATGACTCTTGTCATCATGTTGGTTAAACTTTATGCAGATTAGGAAGCATAGTTGCAGAATTAGCAAATACGTATTACAGGGATGAAGGGCGAAGAGTAAAAACCTGCATTGAGAAAAAGAGCTTCAGTTCTGTTGACTTGAATATTCGTTACTGCTTCAAGGTAAGGTTTCGTTTTTTGTTTCATTTTGTTTATTTTTTATTTTTGATAATCAAAAGGCTGAATATATTGCAATAAAAAACTCCAGGTTATCAGAAATTTGGGCATCCATGTACAACAAGACACAGCATCATGCTGGCCACACCTGATAAAGAAAACAGAAACAAATTACATTAATACATTTCAGGCCCTAGCCTAGGTGTTTCCTGCACAAGATTATCCACATCGACTCTTGTTCCAGCTAGGTTGTTGGCTAGACTATTAACTGTTCTAGGTGTCCACCTGAAGAAGGCACTCAGGTTTTTGGCCCATGTTCTAGCTTCTCTAACCAAGAAGAATATCAACAGCACCTCCTTTCCAGAGTAACCATTTAATAACCCCTTGGGAACCCCCTTCCACAATTAAACTGCTCCATCTAGCTGTTGAGGTGAGCTTTAAGCCTTGAATTAAAGCTAGAAGTTATGCGCTTTCAATGAATTACAAAAAACCAGTGGCCCTGGGAATATAACGAGGATATTGCCATTGCTAAACCTATTGAAATCCAACTTTAATTTGACTGCATTTGGGGCCTTCCATTCAACCAATCTTTACTGTCTCCTAGAGGAAAATCCTACCACTGCCTGCCAATCCTTCAAAAGGTTATCCATGGTTACTCCCTTCAATTGTTCACAATTTCAAACCTAATGAATGGTTCTCACCATAATGAGATCTATTAAGGGATGTGTCATGTATGTTTTGTGCTTCGTTTTCAAAAATTCTAGCATTTCTCCTACCCCATATATTTCACAAAATGACTGCTCTAGTACATAACTGCAAATTTTTTTTTCTCTTTTTGTGACATCCCCAAAAGGAGGATAAAGTGGACACACACACACACACACACACACACACACACACACACACACACACACACACACAAGGGGACAAACACCAAGTCATCCACCGTCATTGGAGCATCTCAGCAGTATTGATGATTTGAAATTTTACCTCCCAACAATTTGGCAGGTGGTTTAGCTAAACTAGGGGTACAAAGACAGTCTATGTTTTGGGCTCAGTTGTAATAGATGGGGGGGTTTAGACACTTGGTGTCTAATTCTGCCTTAATTTGCTTAATGAAATCTTTTTTTCTGAGTTATTGATAAAAAAACCAAAAAGCCTTAACTCTAGATGGAGAAGGGCCATGCCAAAAGGATGCACAAGAATTTATTCCATTTTGGCAAGGGGACTGAATTTTCTTGTCAGAACCAGAAAGAAGAAAAAACTCATTTTAAGTCATCCCACTAAGTTCAAAACTTCTACTCTCAGGACCCCTCAACCCCTTTCAAAGACCTAAATCCCAAGAAAAACCTCCATTTGGAATCAAAACTATCTCAAATATGGATACCTTTTTTTTTGTTATTTTTTTAAATGCCATATTTATGTAGCTAATTTGTTCTTCTGTTGATGCTATGGCATGCAGAATCAGTTTTTTATTTGTTTCTGTTAGTATGCAAATTTGTATTGAACTCCTCTCCCTGCCCTGCAGTTTTAAATTTCTCAATCTCCTGATGGTTTAGTCCTTTTCTAATTGGTAATGAATTTGGTTGAGAATTAGTTCCTTATGTCTTGTTTTATGGGTTAATTTATGCTTGTACGCAAAATAGAAGTTTTTAATGTATCCCCCTTGAAAAGGATCTTTGTTGTCTCCTGACTTCCGTTGAATTTGGTTGAGAATTAGTTCCWTATGTCTTGTTTTATGGGTTAATTTATGCTTGTAAGCAAAATAGAAGTTTTTAATGTATGACCCCCTTGAAAAGGATCTTTGTTGTCTCCTGACTTCTGTTGAATTTGGTTGAGAATTAGTTCCATATGTCTTGTTTTATGGGTTAATTTATGCTTGTAAGCAAAATAGAAGTTTTTAATGTATGACCCCCTTGAAAAGGATCTTTGTTGTCTCCTGACTTCTGTTTGTGTTTTATAGAGAGTGACATGCAAACAATGTTTCAACAAGTATATTTATTTTCGGGGCATATATACGTTTGTCATTAATTATGTGAAATTAATGAAATGCTAGGTTGCTGTATACGCAGAGTTTCGAAGAGACTGGGGTGAAGCGTTGAGATTTTATGAGGATGCCTACCGTGCACTGCGTGAGGTATTTTTTCAGTCTAAGAATAAATGTCCTTTCTCTAGCTTAGTTCTAGTTCTCTATTATGGTGTCCTCTCTTTCCAAATCTCCTTGCATGCTCTTGTAATTTCTCTGGGTGAAATAGTACTTGACACTCCTTTTAGGATAGCCCATGTTATAAAGGATTTCAAAGTTGTCTGTGCACATTCTTTACTTTTTCTACTTTTTCTACTTCTTCTGGTGGTTCTTGTTGGTATTTTGATTCCTGTTTGATACACTTTCTCTAATACAATCTGTTAATATTAGTACTTTGAGGGGCTTTCTCCCTCCATAGATAAATCATTTGTCACTTTTTGGAAAAAAAATATTACTATATGAATGAAGAGTTCCACCCCCATCACCCACTACATGCAGAGCTATTATCTATTTACCTATTTACATATATGTTAAGTTCCTTGGTGATAAATATTTTAATTTCTTACTTCTTTGACCAATCATGTGTCTATAAATATCCATTAAGTTCTTATCATTGTCCTGGATCTTTATTTCGGTCTTTTTACTTATCATTCAGTATTTATTTATTTATTTATTTTCGGTACAGATTATTGGGACATCAACAAGGTTGCCTGCAATTCAACGCCTGGTTGAGATAAAATCAGTTGCAGAACAGTTACATTTCAAGGCATCAACTATATTGCTGCATGGTGGAAAAATTATAGAAGCAATTGCATGGTTCCGCCAGCATCATGCAGCTTACAAGAAACTCATAGGGGCACCTGAAGTTATTTTTCTGCACTGGGAATGGATGAGTAGACAATTTTTGGTATTTGCTGAGTTACTGGAAACAAGCTCTGCAGTCATTCCAAGCAACACTTCTCTTCCTTTAGTCACAAAGGATAATAAACCTTTGACAGAGTCAGAATTCAATCCAGCTTACTATTATCAGGTAGGTGGCAATACAGTGGGCTCCAATTAGGACAATGAATCTAATTGTTGAAAATAATACAGAAGTATTTCACCTGCAACCACTTTTTTGTCTGACATTCCCAAGGATCTGATAGCTAGAAAATTACAACCATCTTAGTGGTTTTTTTCCCAAGCAGATCCATTATGTAGGACCCTGAGTTGATGGGAGTATTCACTTAGAGGGAGATGGAATAGTGCCACAGTGGTATTGATGGTAGATGAAATACCAAACTGATAACAGACCAATTCGGAACCTTTGATATAGCTAATCTTGAGTAAAAAGCAGTGGAACTAAGGATCTGTTGATTTTGTATTGTAGCTAGGTGGAGCTCTGGGGCTATAAGGATTCCTGTAGACACTGGAAAACACATATAAGTGAAGGATCAATGCTGATAGTGGACAAGGAAGTTTGGGCATCTTTACTGGAATATTTACTTGAACCAATTAATATTTGAGGTGAGAGGCTTAAACGAGCTCGGGACTCGGGACAAATAAGAAGCTATTGTCTATCCAAATAAGAGGGTTGATTTCCTAGCTAGAGAGGGAACAAATGGGGAAGAGTTGGTATGGGAGCTCCAGGCAACCCAAGGAATAAATATTTTATTAATCCAGAAAATAAGAGTTACAGGCAACCCACGGAAAGGCACGAGATGTGATATTTCCTTTAAGATTGATTACAGCATTACAAGATCAGATGAACATGATTACAAGGTAGCCCAAAATAGAGAGTCCCGAGAAACCCCCTATTTAGCAAGTGAATCAGCCATAGAGTTTGCTGATCTGCCTACCCACTGGACTCTAACCGTCATATTTCTTGTTAGCCATTTGACTTTTTTAAAGAGGTCTCTATAGCCCCAAATCACAGAGTCCGGATTCAGCAGCCATCCCACCACCACCTGAGAGTCCCCATCAATAAGCAAGTGCTCTATCCCTAACTGTTTTGCAAGCTGGATACCTTGTACTGCAACAAGCAATTCAGCCCTTGTAGAGTCTCCCAGACCCACAGGCCCTGAATATAAGGATATGATCATACTGTCTTTATTTCTCAGAACTCCTCCTATACCCAAGGGTTCAGGGTTACCTCTGCTACTCCCATCAAAATTCAGCTTAATGAACTCCTCCCTATGTGGCTCCCATTGTACTAAAAGTCTGTTTTTCCTGGTAGAAGTATTGGCTACTGCTAACCAGTTCCTCCACAGGTCATCGAAGGAATAACTATCAAACAGGTTTAATGTTTTCAACCACTGAATTGGCCTTGTCAAAACACAGTCCTTAACTTCTGACATGCTCCTTTTCAGAAAAAAATCTGGTGTTTCTTTCTTCCCAGACAGTCCACAAGATTGCTGCTCTAACACCCTTCCACATAATTCTCCCTCTTTTTGTGTGCCACTCAAAAGTAAACAGACTGAACAACAAACTAATATCAGATGGTAGGTTCCACCTACTCTCAAACAACCCAAAAATCCAATCCCATAGAGCTTGAATATCATCTCTACGTCAGCTTGAGGCTGTTTGTATTGACTCTTTCCAAACAAATTGTGTAGTGGGGACTTTCTCATACTTAAAGAGAAGCTATGGCAAAAAGTAGCTACACGGGAGGATGTACAAGAATACACAAACTATGGAGTATGCACAGACAATAATCCCCTTATAAAACTAGTATGGTAGTGTCTCTTCACATAGAAATACCCCCCATCACTACCTGATCAAGCTAGATCATTTGCTAGTATGTTCTTGGGAATCCATATGAATTTTGCATTTGTATTGGCTACAATTTCCTTGATTTCAGTTAGGTAAGGAACTTGTGATTTAAAAGGCGCACCTATGTTACAGTCTGACACAGGCTTAGCCTTGCCTACGCTTGGCAGGCTTACGTTAAGGGACATCACCGTCATTTTCGCCTGTAAGATTTTTGGGAGAATTGATGTTATTTTCAGGCAGACCACCAAAAACTTAACGTACTCTTTGAGGAGGGGTGGTCGACCTCTTTGGGTGCCTAACCTTGGTGCTTCTAGACCATCATCCCTTGTGGGGCGGCCCTGGTTAATGGCTAGCATGGCTACCAGGGTTCCTCATGGGCGCACACATGCTCATGGGGACAATGCATGGACCGGCACTGCGCTACCGACACTCAAGGGAGGCTTGGCATGCGGGCCTGGCTCAAGCATGACCCTTCACCACGCTAGCCCCTTGCCCAAGTTGAATGAGCTATCCCGTTGCCCATAGCGCACGGGTGTGTTCCGGTCCAAGCAGTTGCCTATCATCATGGCACATAGGTGCCTACATCATCGGCATACAGGAGACCCATCACATCGGTGCCTAGTCACCTCTCTTTGGCGCACAACCGCCTCACATCATGGCCTTCCCCCTTTAGCACGTAAGAGGCGCCTCCCATGGACCGGCAGGAGCCAACCGAGTGCCCCGACCATGCGACTTGAGGTCATGATCCAGTGCTATTGACCTTGGTGGAGCCATCTCATCGGGCAACTCCTAGCCTCCAAGCACACAAAGGCTTGCCCTGGCCTACCTTGGCCTGGACGCCGCACGGGTTTCTCCCGTTGTAGAACTACCCCCGTGACAGTTGGTATCAGAGCGAGCTAGCCAATTGCTGCCGCAGTTGGTGTCACAGCAGATTAGCCCAGAGCCAGTTGAAGCGGTCTTCTCGACAAACAGCACATCGTGGGGTGCGGTCCCTAAGCACTTCCACTTGGGTTCAAGCAAAGTTACACATCAGGCCTTGCAAGAGGCCATTCATTCGTGTCCCCATTCCAATGACCCTAAAACAGCGCCCTTGCGGGGGCAGACTTAATTGGTTGCTGTACTCATGCGGGGGCAAACGCGTGAGCCTTTTTATGGAAGGCATATTGTGGTGGTTTGAGTGAGGGAGTGCCATGCTTCCTCACGGACACCAGTTGCTGTTCATTTTGGTGAGGTGTTGGGCTGTGCGCCTACATCTTGGTTTCATGATGGATGAATCATTGTTCAATAACTTGTCTGAGGCATTACTAAGGCGGGGACAACAGTCCGAAATTGGTTGGTGTCGACGGTTGGTCAAGGAATATCATTGAAGTGGCAGTTTTGCATCAAATGGGTCCTCGGTTGAAGCCACAATATTGGAATGATAGGAATGTGGGTACACTGGCCGTTGGAGCATGGCAGCCCTACATCGGCAAGGTATCGGGAGGACATGCTCAGTTCATCAACAGGTGGAACACTTGCAGCAGCAATAGCTCATCACAAGGCGAGTGCATATTCGACAACATCATGGGTAAAAGTTGCCACACTCGCACACATTGCGGTCAGATCTCCTTGAGGCAGCAACACATTGGGACCCCCTCGGAGCGAAGAGGTAGCCTGAACCGGCGAGGTGAAGTGTAGTTTCAAGGGCCAAGAGAGCATTAGCCATGGACTAGGTTTGAGTAACCCGCACATGGCGAGGTGAAGTCTGCAGGCCAGCATGGTGAAAGGGCACCCTGGACACATCGCCAACAGCAGGAGTAGACCTATTACATCGTGTTCGGTAGCACCACTGAAAAGCTACCAAGAAGACGGTCGAGCCTTGAGGTAAAGATGATACATGGGGCGGACCTCCGCGAAGTACACATCTAATTTCTTCGAGGGCCCTTCTCACATAGTTCAACGGCATAGCCATGGCGCGGTTTGAGTAACCTCAACACAGGGGGTGAAGTCCAGGTAGGCCGACATGGTGAAATGGTTCCGTCCCCATAAATGGACACCAACATAGGCAAGACCCAGGTTGGCCAGGTGAGCCCAGGAACTGGCAGACAAGTGGATGGCGCGGGACACAGATGCCCATTCACAGAAGGACCATTGTCGAGGACAACAATGGATTGAGTGGGGGAGCCTGTTATAGTCTGACATAGGCTTAGCCTTGCCTACGCTTGGAGGCTTACGTTAAGGGACATCACTGTCATTTTTGCCTATAAGATTTTTGGGAGAATTGATGTTATCTTTAGGAAGACCACCAAAAGCTTAACGTACTCTTTGAGGAGGGGTGGTCGACCTCCTTGGGTGCCTAACCTTGGCATTCCTAGACCATCATCCCTTGCGGGGCAGCCCTGGTTAATGGCTAGCATGGCTACCAAGGTTCCTCATGGGCACACACATGCTCATGGGGACAGTGCATGGACCGGCACTGCGCTACCGACACTCAAGGGAGGCTTGGCATGTGGGCCTGGCTCAAGCATGACCCTTCACCACGCCAGCCCCTTGCCCAAGCTGAATGAGCTATCCCGCTGTCCATAGCGCACGGGTGTGTTCCGACTCAGCGGTTGCCTATCATCATGGCACACAGGTGCCTACATCATTGGCATACAGGAGACCTATCACATCGGTGCCTAGTCACCTCTCTTCGGCTCACAGTCGCCTCACATCATGGCCTTCCCCCTTTAGCACGTAAGAGGCACCTCCCATGGACCGACGAGAGCCACCCGAGTGCCCTAGCCATGCGACTTGAGGTCATGATCCAGTGCTACTGACCTTGGTGGAGCCATCTCATCGGGCATCTCCTAGCCTCCAAGCACACAAAGGCTTGTCCTAGCCTACCTTGGTCTGGACACCGCATGGGTTTCTTCCGCTGTAGAACTACCCCCGTTACACCTAGGCACACAGGTGAGGTGCATTATGGGGTATGCGCCTCACCCAGGTCCTAGGCACACCCCTTTCAAAAGGCACACGCCTGGTGCGCCTAGGCATGTGCCTGATGCACCTTGCGCCTTAGCTTAGATGTGCGCCTTTTTAAAATTTTGCTCTTTTTGTTGTTTTTTTTTTGAGTCTAACGGCTAGGCCGAGGGCTCCGCCCCTAGACCCCTTACCACGCCCCTCGAGGCAAGCCCGAACAAATCATTATTTTTTATGTGAGAAATAAGAATTTCAAACCCTAACATAGACTTGTTCGGGCTTGCCTCAAGGGGCGTGGTACAAAGGTGACTCATAGAATCAAGAATGCAATATGTTTTA